TCCTTGATGGGATTTGCCGGCGTCCAGCCGCGAGAACAGTGCCGGCACTGTACCTGCGTCCCTTCCCTTGCACCCCTCCCTCTTTCCCTCTTTCCTATTCATCCACTCGAGATGCGACTTCCCCCTCAAGCGAGGACAATCTGGACCCACTCCATGATCCGATTCGCAATCCCACGCTGTAATACACCCGCGGGATTTGTACAAAGTCTTCCCGGGCCATATCCGGCGGCCGCCGCCCAATTGTGCCGTACCGTCGCTTTGCCTTAGATGCGACTTGCTCATTTGACACGTGCACCACGGTCGACACCTGCCATCGATCCTCGCGATGGTAGTCTTTCGAATCAACAGTCGTGCGGACGACCACACATACATACATACACGCATACATACATACATACATACCACCACGACAGACACTATGGACATGCTGAGTCTGGCTTGCCCCAAGTGCCTTCCTTTCCCAAGACCGCCCCTAAACCACTTACACCCGGGTCTTCGTACATCGATCAGCTGCCACCTGGTCATACAAGACGACCCAACACCTTGATACCTACGGTCCGATGGTTCTGCCCATCCCCGACAGATATGTCAAAGCATGAACCAGGGCGCCAAGCCAAGTCCGAGGCAAATGTTCGACGCCCCAGAAGCCGCAGTAATTACCAACGGCATTGGGGGAGATAAACGACATTCGTTGCATGGCAAACATGCTAGGTTTTCCTAGAATGCATATGCCATCCTGGCAAGCCGAGCAAAGCAAACATGACATATCCGCGAGGCTTGGGGGTCTAGATAGGTAGGCACCAAGAGGCACAGTCGACGCCCGCTATTGCCCCCTACATGCGCCCCCCGGATGACTACTGATTGATTACGGTTCCAATTTCGCCATGACGACGCAAGGCTGGGCTTATATTGTGCCCGAGCCACGAAGCGCACCTGGTAGACTGCCCTTCCGGCCGGGGTTTGGCTCAACGACACTGCAACGTGTGGTCACTGAGTAGCAGTCAACCACCCGCGTCTCCAAGTGTGAGACACGGCACGCAAGGGAAAATCGACCGCTCAGTTGCAAGCGAACATCAACCACTCCTTCTGACCAGCGCCTCCTCACTTGACCCAGGCACCAGAAAGACATCAGCAGGCCACACCATCAGTCCAGACCATAATCTTGATTGCTTTTGTCGTCTCTCTTGCCGCTATACGGTTTTGCGCTCTCAAGTGAGATGGCCATGCCGTGTAACAGGATGCAGAGCACACAGAAGTTGCTGCCGATTTTTGCACGAGGAGCTGTTGGGTTGGCCCATATCTAGCCTGCTGTCTACTGTCCGACGGCATGCTCCAGATTACCATCCGCCGGCTCTCCTGCTCCGACTGTCTTGCGAGCTTGTGTTCTCCAAGCATGTTGGAGGCTTGACTGCCCTACCTCATCGCAGCCTCAGATTGTCTTGTCACGGTGGCACAGCATGTTGCAGAATTATTAACACACCCCCGGTCGAGTCGTACGCGAAGCAAGCAAACAATAGCACCAGCCGTCCATGTATGTACGCAATAACGTCGCTTCAAGGAGGCCGTAACTACACCGCACATGTCTCTACTATGACATGCGCCATGCGTGTCGACTAGTGTGCAGACCTGCTTCGTCTGCGGTGCAAAGAGGGGATAGCCATGCCTGGCGGGTCAGAAAAGGTGAATGACGCTGCACTTACAACCCTTCGCCGTCGCTCTCATGGCTGTGGCTGAAGCAGCCTCTCTCTATATCGCTCTATCGACATTCAAGGAATACTTGGCGACATTCCAACCAACGTCTCGCCAGTGGTATGCAACCACCGCGTCAAGGTAGCCGCTGTGCGAACCCGTCTCCAAGCAAGGATTCTCCCTGACGCGGTCGAACTGGCATCACGCCGTTCCTGAGCGTCGTTTCCACAACACTCATCTGAAACTGGTCAAATTCAACCTTGGCTTCCAGCCTTTTGTAGTCAAGTTAGAAACATGTTCAAGATATGAAGCTGCAGGGGGCCAAAAAAAAAACCCCCCATTCTCCCGCACAGTCTTCGACGGAACATGACACCGGAACCAACTCGGCGCGTGGCTCACATTTTCACTTTTCCTGCGCCGAACTATCCCTCCAGTGTATTTTTTAACCGTTGGAAGCTTAATGTTTTAGCATCGGCTGGTTTCTGCCGGGTAGTAGCATCGTGGACCAAGGCGCCGTGTTCCGCAAAGAAAGGGGGGGAGGGAAAGAGGCCAGCGGGCGACGTTACCTCTTCTTCAAGAGGACCCGGTGTAAGGTCGTGATACCAAGAGGCTACCTGGGGCATTACCTCGTCCCGTACATTCCAACGTTGGTGAGATCCCGTGGCTGCGGCTGCTGCTCTTGCCCCGTGCGGACTTGGACCGTTGAAACAAGAGAATCTTGACCAGAACGAGGTCCTCGCCTGCGAGGCCAAGTTACAAACGTTCGGTCGAACCTCTAGGGCGCGAAAAGGCGAGCAAGCGAGGCAGGCTTTGACCTTGTTCTAGTGTGTGTATGATGTGTCTGAACTTGTCCATTTTGTCTCAAAACAAAGAGTTCTGGTAGGAGAAGGTTGCCTCACGGAACAAAGAATGGCTCAAACTCTCTTGAACTACTGGTGGCTCGCTTACCAATGATTCGACAACCCTTCTCGCTTTGGTCCCTTTCCCCCTCCCACAACTTTCCACTTAGTGGCACTGACTTTGACGGCGAAAAAGTACTCGCGAAGTGCGGCGCGGTCGGTCGTACCATGGAGACTACGTTGCCGAGAATGGCGAGGCGAGAAAGAGAGGCACGCTACATGCTCGTACCGCGCTGTGTGCGCCGCTAACGCATGAGACGTTTGGGGTCTCTCCCGCCGACGTGCTCGCCAGCGCTTGCCTGGCTGCCCTGCTTGTTCGGGTTTCTGCCCTTCGACTAAAGTTGCCCGTCAAAGAGGGATGGGAAGAAGGAAGGAAGACATGGGCAGGCCAGCAGATTTTGAGGCTGTACGCTGAATGCCGGGGGCAAAAGTATGGGTGTCTAGCCAGTCAGAAGAGTCGCATGTTGATGACATGTCTACTGCCGTCCCCCATGCAACGGGTCGGTGGGACATGCAAGTCAGACGGCCGATGGGTTGTGGAACCCGGTGCCTGCCGGTTTCGGACCCAAGGCGACGTTATATGACGGCCCAGGAGTGCTCGTCTTACACCAAAGAGCTGCTTGTGATGTGCGTTGACTCGAGAGCCACATGGTTCCGGGCTCGAAAAGCAGACCAGAACAAAAGGTGTGGAAACGACGTGACGTATCTTTTGTAGAACAGGACGTGCAACACCAGGTGTTCGCTGGTCGTCGACACCAAGCCAATGACAAATCGGGCACCCCACTGGCTAGCCGGCCTCTTCTGGACGACCCGGTGATATATCTTTTCTCGCAACGGGCTTTTTTCCCCAGCCAACCTAAAGTCGTGCGGTTTCCTTCTTGGTCAGGACGGAGTGAAACATGGATGAGTCGAGACTACATCGCCCTGCATCGCCATTTCCAGCCGTTGTCTGCAGATGGCCGTTTGAATTTTCCCAACCATAACCGGGCCGTTGCTTCGACGAAAGCCCCTTTGCCTGTACTAGCGAAAAGTGAGTGTTGTTGCAGCCCATTCGGTCTGGCAGCCATGCTTGAGTCCCCGCCCACCTACCATCGGCCCCCGGCGGTTGCCTTCGCATGTTCGTCTGTCGATTCGCTTGTTCATCTGTCGATCCCGGATTGCCCACGATCTGCGTTCGTCCAAGATTGCCTGGGTATCTGTCCGGCCTGGGTAGGTTGGCTAATGGGTTCCTCTTCGTCGGATGTCGTTGAATCCCCGGTATCAGAGGACGACACGCCTCACGGTCTGTCGGCCCGCTCCGTGAGAACATCTGTCGTCCGTCAATTCCGATATCTCTGGCTGAGGAATCCCCGGTGGAATAGTAGTAAACAGCCTCTGGGTCTGATCTTCTCTGGTTCGTTCTTCTGCTAGCTCGGGTTCTCATGTCCCGAAGCTTCCTTTGCGGCTCGGTCTGCGGTTTTGTTCTACGAGACGCCTATAAAGGTCAAGCCAACTCAGCCCAAAGTCGGAGTTGTGCGGACCTTTGGGTGACCTTGATCATCGGTTTTTCTTGGCCAAGATGTGGACTAGGAGATTTTGTTCGTGGTTTGGCGACTGTGCGAATGCCTCGCAAAGCAGATGACTCACTCCACTAGAGTCAGTCTTTGACGGAAACCGCGATGCCTGTCACTTCTGCCTTGAGTCTAATTCAACTCATGTTGATACATGCCATTCTCGGACTAGCATCCAGCTCGTTCAGCTTGTCCAGGTTCGCTGATGCCTCCACTTGGAGATCTCAAAACGTCTTACAAGTAGGGGTTCCTTCGCGTTGAAATGGGTTTCTTTGAATGACGATTATTTGATCTCTACGTCTGGTGTTCATGAAGAGTCTACTCCGTTTAGGCTGCCTCCATGCAGCTTTCTTGCACTGTTTCGGAAATCTTTACCCTCACTTATCAACACAACTTTTGCCAGAGCTGGCTAGCATGTCCAACTTACCCCGCTGGATCTCTGCATGAAGCAGTGATCCACGGTGACCACGAGCGCGTGGAGGAACTCATCCGCAACAGAGCCGGTAGCTCGGTTACAGCAACCGCTCGTTCGTTCACCGCACTTCACTTCGCCGTCCAATCCCAATGCGAAAAAGCCACGAGGCTCCTCGTGGACGCCGGGGCCGATGTGTCTGTAGCCAGCAGTGATGGTGTAACTCCTCTACACAACACGGCTTCTACAGGTGATACGACGTTGACTAGATAGCTCCTTGAGGCTGGAGCCAACGTCCATGCTCGCAACATTGACCACGAGACGCCGTTGCATCCAGCGGCCCTCTTTGGAATTGTCAGGCAGCTCATTGCCGCTGGAGCAGACGTTTCGGCAAGAGACTGCTATGGACGGTCAGCGCTGCACTTGGCTGCTGCTCACGGGTTCCTGGACATGGTCCAGGTGCTTGTCGATGCCGGCGCCAACGTGAATGCCATCAACAATAATGGAGACCCCGTCCTACACCACGCAATTCCAGATGCGCCGCCGACCTCAGCGATCAAATTCCTGCTCGACAGAGGCGCTGACAGCTCAGCCAGAGGCCAAGGCGGGGATACCCTCCAGCACCGCGCGGTTTTCGGCTCCGACGATACGATACCACTTCTTCACAGGGCCGGCGCTGCTATCGAGGCGGTTGATGACGAGGGAGCGACTCCGTTGCACCATGCAGCTGCGCATGGGCGTAGAGGAAAGGTCCGGCTCGTCCTGGCTGCCGGTGCCAATGTCCACGCAACGACCAACGACGGCGAGACGGCGCTGCACCTGACAGCGGGGATCCCGTCTGCCCCTTACTTGAGCATGGGGCCAGACTCTGACGAAAAGGCAAGGCTGCCTATTGACGCCGGGATAGATGTGAATGCGAGGACAACATCAGGGCAAACGGCCCTGTGTCGGGCGAGAGAGAGTAGACGCAGTGCGGTTGCACAGGTACTTCAAGAAAAAGGGGCAGAAGAATAAGAGAACACGAAGTTAGAAGCCTGTAAACACAACAGAGTGTACCAGATTAGCGTCAATCATAGATAGGTATGCCTAGAGCACAAGTCATCACTCTATCTTCGCGAGTTACACAGGAGAGTAAATGACACAGAAGGGAACGCGTGTCTAGCATCTAGTCCATCCATTGATAGTGTCATCCACGATCCATTGGAACCTGGACCGCCGACCTTACTTTGGGTGTGTGCGCTCTGTAACCGGCACCGCACCCGTGAAGTAGAGCACATACAGAGTGGTGTAGCGTTCGTAGCACACAGTGAAGGCAACTCAAAGGGGACTAGAACATCATGTTTCAAGGGAAGTACAGCTTGTCAAGAGCAGGGACGCCACGTGAGGCGGCTGAACAGAGGTTGCGTAGCAAGTCTCAGAACACTCTGAGGTCGAATTAGAAGTCATTTCCATAAGGGGGAGTCATGCGGATCGGTGATGACGAAGTCGTCTCGGCCGGTTCCGACTCCCCTCTTCAGGCCATAAGGTTTCTTGCTTTTCTCTATCTTTTTTTTTTCTTTTTTAGAAAGGAAGATGTCTTGCCTGTTGTTCTAGATTGAGAGTCAATGTGAGGGGACAGGCCAATGGTTCACGTATGTCTTGCTTGGGAACGCGGTTGGCCGGACACGAGAAAGGAGTGTTTTCAGTGAATACGACAAGCCTAGTGGCGAGGTATGTATGCATTTTGCGGACGTGTGCTTTGTTTTGACGGTGATGCGGTTGGCTTTGACTATTGATTGAGGGTGAGATGGTATCAGCCATCTCTCATGTCAGTCAGGCTTGGAGAAATGTGGCATTGCCCCATGTCCTTCGAGGCAGTTGATTCCCGCATTGCATAAAAATGGTCCGACTTGAGTCTTCCATGTTGCTTTCCTCAGCTGAGATATCCTCCGACGCTGGTTTGAGTATCCGACTGCCTTCAAGATCAATTTGTCATCGTGGGTGATATTTTCACCAAACGGAAATTACTAGGCTAGATACAACCCGACCCCAAGCAGCCGATATCCTGCTGTTGTCTAGGATCAAAATTGGTCTGGGTAGGCACTAGAAGGTGTGGCTTAAAGAATCGTTCGATTGTCTGCGGCGTGTGTAAGAATTCGATCAAATCTTACACGTGCATTTCAGTGGGCGAACTGAAAAGATTTGCAACAATTTACTCCATAATCAAGCGGGTAAAAGGATTCACCACACAGCGGCTCTTTAGTCAGGTCTGTATAAATCGTGTTATTAGCACATAATTCTTTCTGAGTTTATTAGATACGTGACCTAGCTCGAATCATGAGGATTCTATATGCAATCTCAGCAGAGGCAAGCTAGTTGGGTTGATGCCGGGCCAGAGATGAGGCTCTTTGGCCGATGAAGGATTACGGTGTGAGCGTCTTGATACTTTTTGCTTGCTCTACAATCCTCTGGAGCCTCTGTGTATTCAAAAATATGTATCTCAATGAGAATTAGGAGCGACTGGCACTGGCGGGTGATTTCAATCTTCACGGCATCCATTTGCAGCCTTGCGCGGTTTCACTAACCTCACCACGTTCACCATAGATCTGCGCCTGTAGCAAGCGCAATATCATTCTCACATTGAATAAATAACAGTTCAGATTTCATCCTTTGGTTCTGGGCTCGGCTCTATTCGCATTTTGATACATGTTCCTTTATATCTAGGCGCAGATGCTTCCGAGGGGCAATTTACTGTGGCGACCACGCCCAAACAACCGGGAATACAGCTACAAAATAAGTATGGCTGTCGTAAGAGCATCCTTCACTTGTAGAGGTTGCTAGCTGGTCAAACTGCCAGATCTAAAGAACGCAACCTCTGCACGCTCTGCTTGTCTATGGGGGAGATTGACTTTAATAGGTTTGGCCCAAAGCTATCATAACCGTTCGTTTCGTTCATGGGACAGAAACCAGATGCATGGTGTCTGTCCACGAAGGGTGGCCTATGAGATGGCGAGTATACTTCTGGTCGGGAAAGAAGGGGAGGAGACACTCATTTTTGGAGCGTCCAATACTTCTTACAAAAACGATTTTGCCAAACCCTCAACGATGACTGAAAAATGACAGCCAGGGGTGCTGTCAGTCTATCTCCCGTGGGATATATGATGCTTGCTTTGAGTCTATATATCATTGAGCTCTTCAATATGCTCATCCCTCATTGCACTTCACTGTCTTCGTAACATGTACCTCATACTGTTTGTATTAGATTTCGTTTTGGTAATGGAGATTCAACAAGTGGGAGGAGAGCCCTCGAGCGCGTTGAGGGTACATACGAGCCTAGATCGTTCCCTTGTCAAGCTCCTATAATTACCAACCCTACTGTATACTACAACATAAGATTCATACCTTCTCATCAGGTAGGTGTCATTTGCCCCCATCCACACTGAGGGGACAGATAGTTATTCTATCAGTTGCTTGGACATATTTGCATGGCCCCAAACTCCGTACCACCAATATCTACGATCTGGGACTCTCTATAGCTCACTAAGGTTCAAATTCTTACTTTTCTGTTGACCTTCAAGTTGCTGTTACCTCCGTAGTTACGGCATACACCACTTGTGAACCTAATTGTGGTGGTTTTGGTTAGGCGTCGTTGGAATCACGACCATCTGTTGTTGGCCGATGGCCTAGAGATGAGACGCGGTCAAGTCGTCCGAGTAATGCCTGTACTGAGGCTGCATGTCTTCCTTAATTCGTTTGGATTTTCAGCATCCTGCCGCTATAGCCACAGTATTTCTTGGTAGGACCGTAGCATAATCTAGAGGCTAGGCCACAACAAGAACTGTCGTGAATGGCGGGTTTGCCTCTCGGGACATCCGTGAAACCCTCTTTTGAAGTATTGCCACGTGTACAGCATCAGTTCTCATACACATGTCTCTATTAAAACTAAGCCATGGGCCACTGTCAAGAAACATACTCGATTACACATTATCGGGCTCCCATTGCCCATTACTCAACTTTGGCTCTCCAAAAGCAAAAAGTGAAGGGAATCTTGAGTGAAACAAACGAGTGAGGGTATCTTCAGTCCATACTCCAACCGGTCCATGGCGACCGTTCCTCTCCAACGCCCATTTTGGAACGAGTGTGATTCTTTTCGTACGTGATGGTTTCGGTATAGTAGAAGCTTTGTACCGTCTACTTCAAAGGGTTGCTAGCTGTCCTGGAATAGCGCGGTGATCCAAGGCCGAGATGCTTCTTAAACTTGCTCGGTTCCGGCGGGAGTCGCCGTCGGGGCAGGGATACGAGCCGCCGACTTCTCAGGGAAGTGTCCCCCTGGGGAACACGGCCGTACTGGGTAAAGTAGAGGTTCAGAGCGTTGTAGTCCCACTTTCTGGAGAGCAGCAGGAAGATGACTGCGCCGAAGGGAATCATCAGAACGTCCAGAACGCCGAAGAAGATGAAGTGGGGGGTGACGCCAATGGTGTTGCCGCCCTCGGAAACACCGAATGCGATGGGGTAGAGAAGCCACAAGAGATTGAAGTAGCCGGCGAGCACCCAGTAGTCTCTCTGGGTACCAACGCGCTTGGCTCCGATCATTCCCTCGCCAAAGGTGGAGGCGGCCATGACCAAGTAGGCGACGGTACCGAAGGTGAAGAATCCCCACTTGTAGACGGAAGGGGTGTAGGCGGACACCAAATAGCTGATGATCCAGACCCAAGAGAGGAAGATATGCCAGACGATAGTAGCCCACGAGGAGTTGGCGACGAGACCGAGGAGGATGTTGACAATGGGGAAGGCAACGACCCAGTTGATGTACTTGTTGAAGAAGATCTGTCGTGGAGCACCACTTGAGTCGGCCTGGGCCACGATAGACCAACCGAGATTGGAAGCATTGGCAAAATAGGTGATGGCACCGACGAGAAGAGCGATGTTCAGGAGGTAGTGGAAGATCTTCTCATTGCCTCTGGGTCTGTATGACATGGCGAAGACACCGAGCTGGTAGGTGTTAGCAGGGTCGGGAGGAAGTCAGGGAATGCAAGGGGAAAAGACATACAAAGAAGAACGAGTAGATTGCCATGCAAGCCCAGAGCCAATTGGAGCCATTGACGCTGAGTTCCTCCTCAATACGTGGGAGAGGGTTAATGTTGAGCGCCTCGTTGTCTCGCTTGAAAATCAAACCCATGGCGACGACTATCAGAATCGAGTGTTGGTTAGACTATGTATCTTCTATTCGTCTGGCAAGTAGATAGAGGGTTGCTTTGAAACTGGTAAAGCTGCGGAAGCCTGTTGGTAGATGCAATGGGTTGGAATGCTTACGATTGTGACGAATACAAGATCTGTTTAAGAGGGAAGAGTGGGAGGGTCTTATACTTTGAACGAGGCAAGTGCCCTCTATCCAACGCATGGCAGGATGGCATCATTAGCTCCAGAACGTGATAGCACAGCTTCATTGCTGCAAGTTCGATGCCACCTCCAATCCCGAGCCCGCCGATGACTGACCCTACCTAGTACAGGAGCTTGCTAGTCTGTGATGAGAAGGACCCTGGTTCCCCTCTGGCGAGACGCACAGTCATGGACAAGGGCGGATGAGACGGACAGGAATGCAGGATGAATCACAGAAGGTTCTGTCCATATCGAAAATCAAAGGAACATCTCGCTGTCAAGTTCTTCAAGTCAGGAGACCTTGTTTGAAGTCAGCCAAGCCAAGGCAAGGTTGGTCTGGATGTAACTGTGGGCACCAGTGACCGCCGTAGGTCCGATTCCAGGGCTGCCGGGGAGCACCCTGGGTTGAGATCACACTTTGTTTGTGGCCCCTTCCAATCCAATGACCTAGACGGAGGCGCGACATGACTAGAGTGCTGTGGGGGAGGGATGGATCGAGGATGAGGCCAGAAATGGTTTCCTGCAGTTGAGGTTATGTGAGCGCCAGAGCCGCTGACACCGGAAGCTATCCCGGTACATATTCACGGCTGTACCTGAGAAGGCACCAAAGAGGGTGTGGGTATCTCGTCTAGCAAAGGTAGAGTATCACGCCATGCCGTCCTTTCCCTCAAACAAACAACTCCCCATCATCTTCCAATAAGCTCAATGTGCAGAAGACAAGCCGCCCAGCGTTTGGCCCTAGCCACGTACATCATCTCCACGCAAACATGACCGACTTGTCACAGAATCAATGCGGCCGGGTACTGATCTCTGCTGACCGCATGTCGCGTACATACGCCCAAATGCCACCCAGACTTCCGGGCGATCAAACGAAGCCTGCTCACTTAGCAGCCAATGCCGGCAGCCGAACAACGACGCAGAAGCAAATGCCGGCCAGGAAAACAAGCACAGACGCACCGTTCGCCCATTCTCCACTCGCGGCTCAACAAGGTCTTCCTTGTCGATATCAAAATTTGACTTGGCGGGCGACGAGGACCAGATTGGGGGGGGGGGGGGTAAGGCGGGCCATCCTTGCTCTGCAAAGCTGCAGAAGGCCTCAGCACACTAAAGCCCAAGGCCGAAATCACAGGTTGGTAACTGCTTCTTCCGCTGCTAATGACTGGGGAAAAAACAAGAACATTGACGTAATGTCTGCTGAGACCCTTGGCGGAATCGACACCACGTGTACCGATAGCGCCTTTGAGCCCTTCAGGACCCGCCCCGGGCTCCCCGGCCGGGGCCAGCCCGTGGATGTTCGGGAGCATCGGAATTCCACAACCTCACCCGTCCGATGACTAAAGAAGGTCTCATCCAAGCGGAAGCCATCACATCAGCAGCGACTAGCGACGTGCTGGTTCTCGAACAACCCAAGTCCAGCGAGATCAACACCCCAAGTAGCATAGGATCGTCGAGATGGAGGGTTGACGTTCCCTTGGACTCACGAAACTCGTCCCAGTTACACTGCCTACCGTACGACCAACCACCGTCTCGTGTGCCCGTACCCATCTATGCTTTCTTCTCTCAGAGGCCGTGAGCTGACGCACAAGCTTGCGGAGGAAGATTTCACTGGTGAGGGGACACTAGACCGTCTAGTCCGAGAAAGAAAGTATACCATCGCGCCCCGTCTCGAACATTGCAACTTCGCGCTCTAATTCGTTCGCAATCGGGAAGCCGGTGATGAATTGCCTGTCCCCATCACTCAACCGGTAGTTGTAGCCCACCGGGATCCATCATGCTGCGTTCGCGATGCCGTCGGTTACGGGCACCCTTACGACAGAGTGGTCCCTCCCCAGGGCGTCATGCCACCAAAACATACCAAAACCCTGTGCCGAGCGATCCTGGTCGTCGATCGTGGCCCGGTTCGGATCCCTGTCCGCCCGCCGTAGCGCCAAACACACACTGAACCTCTCTCTAGTGGGCCTCCACCGGCCGCCCTACAAGAACTCAACTTTGTTTTTTTACCTTGTCTATTCCAGAGTTTTCTCTCCCTCTCATGATCATCGGATCACATGAAGGACGAACCCATCCGTTGCTTCCGGAATACAGGCGAGACTCACCTGCGGAATCTTGGCCTCCAGAAGGAGCTACGGTCCGGGACAGAAAAAAAATCTTTGCATGGCTCAGAGAGTGTTTTTTCCCTTTCCACTGTAAATGCGGTCAGCAGTTCAATCCTGAAATCTCCGATCCGACCGCACCGCACCCTGTTACCTGCAATGGTAGTACGCCGTGAATTCACGACTACAGATTCGATACCGGACGTCCCTCTCCGACAGATTGCCAACCAATCGTCCAGCAGCCCTTCTCTACGCCGACGAAGAACCCAATCTCTTTCCTGCAGGCAATCGCCGGATGGCGACGAGACATTGAGAGCCCAGGCCACGCGCATCGCCATGCCCGCCCAGCTAACAACGACGGATCGGCGACAAGAGAGCTGTCGGCAAACGTTGCAGGACTTACACGCGGTAGGCTGGCCCGTCATCTTTGCACTCTCCCGCTGTGTCCGATGGACGGGCCATCGACGTGATGACACCACCTGCCATTCCCGTTGGTCTATCAGATAATATATGCTGTTCGTGTATCCGCGGCATGGAAGCCGCCTTGGCTGCTTACATGGTCCCTTGAACATCAACATCATGCCTGGCTTTCGCCGAAGTGAGGCTAGCTTCATATGTAGATTACTGATTCACACGACGGCAGTTCGACGACGTCGAGCAATCGCGTGCTAGACTGTAAGCATCCAAGGCAAGACTGACCTGACACCAGCACCATGGCGTCTGAAAACGACCTATGCTGGCGGTCCAAGCAGACCCAAACATTGCTTAGTCCCCCCGCATCCAGACGACGCAGATGGAGAATGCCGCACCGCGGCTTACGCCCATGCTAAACCCAAACGACCTCAAGGCACATCTCAGACCAATCCGTGTTTTTGCTTCATTCATCATGTACTGTTGTACCGTGTACAGTATCCCTACAGCATGAACTCCATGTACATCTATATCATACATGCATGAAACCCTCCAAACCGCCAACACCTCCAGCCAAACCACCGTCTAGTAACTGCTAACCTGTTTCATCTGCCACACCGCGCTCTTGGCCCGCTCCCGCACGTCTAGCTCGCAATCGTCTTCTAGCCCCTCCAGCTTAGTCAAGAAACCCAGCTTCTTCAGTTCGTACGCCCGCTGGGCGCACGCTCGCGTATCGCTGTCGTCGTCCTGCCACGTGAGGTTGCTGATCAAGTGACAGAGGGCAACCCGCACCTCCTTATCCTTGCTGTTGAAGTGGTTCGCCAACAGCTTGAGCAGGTCCGTCTGCGCAATGACGAGCTGCCGGTGGCGCGGGATGCTGGCCGCCATGTGGACGAGGATGAACACCACGGCCTCAATGATCTTGGCCTGCGGGTAGAGCACCCGAGTTTCGCGCCCCGACCCTGCGGACCGTCTCGACGTTGGGTGGAGGACTTTGGCCTGTAACTTCCTAGCGAGGATGTCGAAGAACCTGTCCTGTCCCAGCTCGCTGAAGAGGTAGTCAATCATCTCTGTGGTGTCGCTTGGCGATTCGGAGCTCGATCCAGAGCCTGCCGCCCCTATCATATTACGGATAAAGTCAAGGCCTTGCTCCTGAATGGCGAGGTCGTCGTTCCGTGCTTTCCGTAGCGGGTTGATCTCAGCTTCGCGAAGAGCTGCTAGCTTGGCTTCCGCCTGTCGTAGTTTAGCTGATCGCTTGCCATCCGCGTCTTGCGGCGCCATCGTCGAGCTTATCCATGACTTGGACAATGGATCTGCCTGGTCCATTTCGACGTCACCGTCCATGTCGTCCCCGGGGTCCACTGCATTCTGCTTGTCCATCTTGGACCTCGCGAGGAACAGCGCGTCATCTTCTGTGTCATCGCAGATGAGCTGCACCAACCAACCGGACTCGAGCTCCTCCAGGCAATGCTTCTTGGTCTCAGGGTCAACGGCATGGACGAAATGCTTCAATGCCCAGAGAGCATTGAGGCGTAGCGCAGCGTTGAGGGAGTGGGCATGCTCGCACAGAATCTTCATAACACCCCTATCGGCCAAAACCTGCAATCATCAGTAACATTCATGGAATTTGAGGCGGGGCTCAAGTTTGTACTCACCTCTCTCATAGGGCTGACTTCGGTGACCAAATTGCATATCGCTGCAGTGGCAGCAATTTGGACATCTACGTCAGGATGTCTGAGGAAGCGGAAGAGGGGAACAGCCACGGCGTAGTCCACCAAAGATGTTCTGAGGATGCTTACAGACCGCGATAGCATTCTGACTGCGTGACACCCTGCGATCAGCACCGACAACGGATTGCTGCCGTACCCGGAATTATGGTCGGATGAAGATCCATCGCGGACAGGCCCATCCGGCTCGTTGGGTTTACTGCGATCCTTTGGATTTGACGGCTTGCCGGGTGTAGGCGAGAGTGACTGCACAATGTGGGCGACGACATCCTGCTCCACAAAAGCCTTGCGATACTCGTCCTTGCCAGCCGCCAGGGCGCCTATCGCCTTGAGGGCGCTTTCGCGCATCCTTACTCTGTGAGCCAGAAGTGGTGGCTGCCCTTCTGGGCCCAAATCACACGAAGGAGATGTGCTTTCCGTCTCCATGGCTGTGTCCACCTGCGGCGACCAGACCTTGGCGTATGCCGACGGCGGAATCGGCTCATACGCATCCTTGAGGAGTTTGCTGTAGCACTTGACGGCTCCGCAATCAAAAGCAGCTTTCTGAAGCGACTCGCTGTCCGTGATCATTCGAGCGAGTATTGCTGGCGTCCTTTCCAGCATTGCCCACTTCAGTGCCGTATCGGCATCGACAAGGGGCGACTTCACAACGGGTGGCGCCGCCTGAAGCTGATCCAACACCTCCATGAGCACAGGGACAACTAGTAGCCCAAGACTGGTTTCTCTCAAGCACTTAATGCCGAATCCAGACCGGAAGAGCGAGGTGAGAAGGTTGGCGGCCATCAACCGTTCCAAATTCTGCCGTGATCTGACCAAAACAACCAGCCAAGGGATGAGAGGACTCTCTTGTTCCTCTTCAGGTTCCGCTTCGTTACCAAACAGCTCGAAGCGGGAGGCCTCCCAGACGGAAGCTGTAGAACTGTACTTGCTCGCGGCTGAGCGAGCCCGCTCTCGCGCCTCGGAGGAACCCAAAGCAGGGAAGTGCGATTGCTGCGAACCAGAGATCCGGCCTTGGTGGATGGGGACGGCGGGAAGCAGATAGTCTATGGCACTGAGGCTTTGCTGCCGTGCAAACCCCAGGCCACTGACCTCAAGAGAATTCCAAGGAGCTCTGACCTCCCTTGACGGTGTAAACTTCATGGCGGGAAAGATGGCCATGATCGCCGGAGAGCACAGCAGCATGCAAGCTCTGAATCGAGAGTCTGAAATGATGGTAGCCAGTGCCTCCAAGATCGGAGCCAGAGTAGAGCTCGACGGTGCCGGTTCCGGGATGAAGTCCGACATCCGATCCACCCGGCCGAGTACTTCAGCGTACGGAATGACGTGCCCTTCGGCAACGGCAATGCTCGCCAGTCGCGTTGCGAGCGAATCAAGCACTCCTTGGCTCGCCATGGCAAGTTGGTGCCTCTCGTCCCGACATAATTGACTGATTATGTTCGCTACCAAAATGACTTGTGTTTGTTGCTCGGATGTGGTTGATGTGCTAGATATTATGCTGTTGAACGAATCGATGTGCTCAGAAGCAAAGACGGCCTCGGCCAAGGCCTGTGTGTCCACTGGTGAGGTCGGTTGCGCCAGAGCGGCAGCCTCGATGATGTTGAGCAAAACGCGTAGAGCAGTCGTAACGAGCAAGGGAGCATTCGAGATCGGGCAAATGTTATCTAGCACAGCTGGCAGCGCCCCGGCAGCGAGAAGAGGTTCGACGAAGGCGGTGCCGCCTGGAACAGTCCAATCAGTATGCGGTCCGGAAATTGTAGCAGCGAGATGAAGATATACCGTTGGCAAAGCTCGCCAGAAGTTGAAGGGCCTGGAGCCTCACAGTCTCCTCCTCGCTCACCCACCGAGGGCTGGCACTGGGCCGGGTGTCCTTGCCGTTGACCTTGGCTGATGATCGGGCGGCGTTGAGTATCCTGACGATGGGGTCCAGGGCGCCCAGTCCAGCCCACATCTCCTTCTTCTGTGCATGCCCGACGACATCGTTCTTGAGCGCCCGTAGCGCACTCGTCTGTTCGGCGTAGCTCCTTGCACTCAAGAGTTGAGAAAGAACTGGGGGATTCGATAAGCGCGTCATGGCGAAAGATTCGATGTGCGGCTCGTAATGAGATGTAAAGGAAGGCTTCTATCGTCTGCTGTCGTCCTCGGCCAAGGCGTCGTGTACTCGCAAGAACAAAGTGGTGCAGCTGCGGTGACGGATCTTGCGTCAGAGGCCAAGGTCCATGCAACCGGTCAACGGAAGGCAAATGTGGGCTGTGCTCCGTAGACACGCGTGGCCTGGCGCTTCCCCAGTGCGCGTAGCAATGTCTGATGATCGTAACTCGTAAATTCTATCCAACGCGTCGAGAGGTTGGATCGAGGACTGTTCCTCCAGAAACAATAGGAGCTGGGGATGGATTTCGTCCACGAGATGGACCGCGGATGATCACGTCGAAACCGACGGTCTGGGCGACTGGGCGACTATCGACTCTGAAAACCCGGGGTGAGGCACGTGCGTTTTTCCATATCGCAACCAGCCTGTTTCAGGATTCTCACATGCCAGCTGAAGCTTGGGGCAGCACTAGCCGTCCGTGTCAGTGTAGCAACGCTTGCGATGTGAGGATCGAGTCGATTTGGCCAGCTCACTTGAATTTGAAAAAAGCCCTAGTCGGCCGCCTAAATTATGCAAAGGGTCCTCGCAACGTGTCGGGACCGCAACGTCTAGTGGAAGCTTTCCTTCGTTGTGTTGCAGACAGCAAGCAATACTGGAAGCAAACCTATGTGTGGCTGCCTCTGCCATGTTGTCTCTTTCCGCCACGTCGATGCCCCACACACAGTGGCTTATACATGGTACGCTCCCGGAAACGGAAGCTCCCCCATAACAGCCGACTTGGTGCTTGTTCAGCGTCATTCTCCTCACCCAACTGCCCAACAACCAACAGCTGCTATGTACACAGCGATACAATGAAAGACTGCGCCAAATTACGCTCAAAACACGCAGCAAGCCAACACACGATTAAGTGAGGTATTTGCTGATCATGCAACGTATAGCTGCCCAGCGTGCCTTGAGGGGGACGAGCAACTTCTTGAGCGAAGAGAGATTCATCGACTGTAAGCGCGAACTCAACTTCGTTTACATGGCTTTGATCCTCGGACCATGGGTTTTGAACCAATGGAATCAAGTTCTTAAGATATTGAGAGGGACAAGACACCAGACCTCCCTCAAATGTTTAGAGACGACGACGAAGGAACCATCTTAGGCAACATTCTCTGGCCGCCATGGACCGGGCGCGGCTCTTTAAGATAGCGCAGTCGCCGGCCGTGATGCCAAACACTGCCCGCAGCCAAACTCCACGGCAAAATGCACAAGGACCAGCAAAACCAACACTCCCGATGCGAGGGTCGAACTCGCAACCTTCGGATAACTGTAGCGAAGCTCAAGACGAGCTTATAGGCTAAAAGTCCGACGCTCTGACCAATTGAGCTAACCGGGAACCCAAAATTTGCGATTTTCTGGCGAATGCACGCCTTCTCATAGGATGGGCGAAGTTCGCAGTCAAGCATCGCCGTAGATTGCTAGGCCATGCGAATGAACCACACTTTATGGCAACCACATATACATGTCCAGGTATCTTCCGAGTCCTGGTACCGGCAACCTGCAACCCTGAAAGTCTCGTCAACGCAGGTGTTCGACCGCAGACAAGAGAAGACAAGAGCAGGACATGCAGTATTGATACAGAATAAGGAAAAGAGCAAAAGTAGCAGTGTCCAAGTCACCACCCACGCGGCGGATTCCCAACGGATCCCACATCGAACAGTTCAGTCGCTTCAAACGTCTCCGAGTGTAAGTGCATTAAATAAACAGTGTCAAACTTGTGCTACATAGTTGCGGGACAAGAAGGGAATATGAGCCCTGTCGAACTTCAGTGTTCGTGGTGGTCAGATAATTAGTCTGTCGTTGATATTTGACAAACGTAGTGCGCGCAAGAATAATACAAATCAACTGGCGAGACCAATCCGGCTTGATGATTCTTCGTCAGTTCATCACACTAAAGACACTGCGTGCGAGAGAATGAAGACTAGGGCGGTGTTCACGTAAGATTCAGACTCGTTCCAATCAAGCGAATAACGATGCTTTCTCTCCCAGTTCCAGATAGGCCACGGACATTGGCCGCATTACTATCAGTACCATAGCAGCACGATCGTGAAGGTGAGGAGTGATTTATCTGGCGTAAGAGGCGTGACATCTAACGATTGGTCCACAACGAGGGAGATCACCGCCAAGGGGGTACATGATAAGAAGGGGACGGAAAATATCTCAGCAGCAAAGCGACGAGCACGTGTGTCGGTAAGGAAACCCCATACGACGATGGATGCGCCTTTGTGCGTTGCAACCAAGTCGGGCAGGCGGATAGACTCATTCAGAGAGGTTCTCGTGGGGCAGGCTGGAACTGTCCGGGGGACCCTTCCAGACGCGCGGTACCAATCCTCACTTTCCGCCCTTCGAAGAGCGTCATTTCGAACGTGCGGTGCGTACTACGGTAAACGAAAGGCAAACTTTGAGCCGCCCCGAACGGGGCCTCCGGCCCCAGATAGGCGTTGCAACCAGCCAAGACCTTGTTAGCACACTGAGCGGGAGCACACTTCGTTCGCGGAATTACCCCAACTGGCTGTGGAAGGGTTACAGCACTGGTCCCAGAGCAGCTTTAGTGGCTTTCCTCTCGGTGTCCCAATCCAGAAGGGCGGTCCACCCTTTCTGGGAGTATGAATCATTGAGAGGGCCTCGAGTATGGTGCAATCAGCGGTCCCAACCCTAGGGGGAGAAGAAGATAAGAAAAAAAAAAGTCTCTGCAGGCCATGCGGACAGCGCTGCCACAGATAACGAACAATGGGCATTCCGAGCAAGAATGGCACGTTTTGGCGCCCGTATTCGTGTCATGTACCAACACAACAGCACCGGAAGAAGAGGAGCAACTCAGGTGTCAAGTGAAATACTTTCCCACTAACCCACAGCATGCGACTGGCTGGCGCAGGCGTAAGACTTGGCTCGGTGCCGAGACCGCAGAATATCAGATTTGCACCCCCTCCAAGCCCCATCCCATTGGCATTTGGCTGACGTCCAGCCATCCTCATGTCTGGGCGGTACGTACTCCCAATCGGAGAACGTGGGCTTGGGTGCGGCGGACTACTCCCTAATCATTCCCACTCTCACTCCTGGACTAGAAACTCCAAGGTCACACACCACCCACACGGACTCGCAGTGAGTCGAGGTGGTCCTGGACCAGGTCCACGTCCCGGCTCGTCCCAGTCCACTTCTTTTCTATATTTTTTTAATGGCCCCGTGCTACTAGTTGCTTGCTCTGCCGACTTTCTGCTGCTGCTGGGTGACATGGGTGCCGCCGACCTGCCGCCTGGAATCCTGTCAGTACCCGTACCGTTACCAGGATTCTTACGAATAGGAAAGGGGCGACTCGCCAATACCGGAGTCTGGTAGCGTCAGTCTGGTCCTTCTTCAGGCCATCCCCCGTCCACCACGTCCACCACGTCGGCAAAGAAGAGCCCCTCCCTTACCGATTTTTTGGCCGTGTGTGCGCCTGGCCGACCTATCTGATATCGAGCTCTTCTGGCAATCTGCAAATCTGAACCTACCGACTGCCGCCTTACACCATACACCGCGCACCGCACACCACCAGCCATATCTTATCCCGCCCCTTTCCACCGCCAGTGTTCTCACGGGAATTCAACTCGTCTCCGATCCGCTCGTTCTGCCGTCTGCAAACCCACGATGCGCTCGGGACCATGTTGACAACATCTCCCATCGTCGCCAGCTCCGCCAATGCCTCGCCCAACAGCTTCCACTATGCCCCTACGCGATCCTCCCCGCACTCGTCTCCTGCCCGACTTTCGGCCCCTTTGCCGCGGCGGCACTCTGCATCCAGATCTTCCCCGTCCGCCTCAGTGACCTCGCCCCCCTCTCAACCGCAATCGCGACACTATGTAGCTGTCGACGCCGGCACACAATATTCCCCCATGGAGTCCTCGGGCCAGCAGCAGGCAGAAGATGTCCCTGCCGACTTCGCCGATGCCCCGCGCGCCTCTATGCCCGCGACGCCTGTCGACCCCCCACCAACGCCGCGTCCCCAGCCGATAGACCCGTCCGCACCGCAACCGACGCCGGAAACCCAATCGCAGCCACATCCGCCATCACAGGTTGTCGTGGCTCCCATCATCCGTGAGGCCTCCGTCATCACCGCGTCGCCCGGCAAGCGACGAAATTCTCAGGACCCGGCCGTTGCGCAGGCGGCAAGCGCATTCGTTGCGGGCGAGTCTTCGTCGTCGAGCGCGGCTAAGCGCCCCAAGCCCACAGCCGGTCCGCCGAAGATCTTGCCGCAGCGATACGAGTTCTGCAGCGTCGAGGACATGGTCGTCTTGATATCGCACATGCTCTCCGAGCTGATCGAGACCAACGACGCGCTTGCCCTGCGCTCCGGCAGCCTAACTCGGTTCCACTCGAGGTGAGCAAAAGGCTCTTCCCTTCTTGCCCCCTCCCCCGTCTTTGATGTAGCGCTCACCAGCCTTCTGACCAGAACCGCACCGAGCATCTCTGTTCTTGAGTACCTCAATAGGTTAGCAAAACATGCGACGCTGACGCCGCCTCTACTACTATCCATGGTGTACTATATCGACCGTCTATGCGCCTTATATCCGGAATTCACCATCAACACGCTTACCGTCCATCGTTTCTTGATAACGGCTGCCACCGTAGCGGCCAAGGGCCTGTCAGATTTGTTCTGGAATAACACAACGTACGCGCGGGTGGGAGGAGTGAGGGTCGCCGAGCTCAAGCTGCTAGAGCTCGAGTTTCTCTACAGAGTGGACTGGAAGATCGTCCCGAATCCTGAGATCCTTGTGGCATACTACCGCGGCCTCGTTGAGCGCTGCCCGGGCTACGCGCTGCAAGAGGAGGACGCAGTCGACGAAGACGAGGATTCAGACGAGGTCGACGATGGGTCGACGGAAGTTTCGGATGGTGCCGGCGACGACAGCGGAGACTCGCCGGATGAGGAGAGTCCGGCCAAGTCGTCGCACGGCGAAGATGCAGGGCCGTCGCAGGCTGCGTAAACAGTCTTCATGATGAAGGCGTATTTCACTGGTCATTTTGTTTTTAAAAACGGGTGGGCATCACTGCTGCCTTTAGAGGCATGGCAAAGCGGCGTTTGGACAGGTGGGATGTTTTGAATGTTTATGAGTGACAGCGGTAACGAAATACCACACCTTTTTCTGAATTGTTTAGACAATACACGGAATCTGATTTTGAGTGTTGTACAATGGTCGTTTTCAAGAAAAAAGGGTGATTCGGGTGATTCTTATCTTTGCTTGGGGATGCGTGTTCCGTAGCGATTAGTGGATCAATTCCCCAGGCGCAGCACGCACTGGGGGAATCAGGCGAGCTAATCCCGACCTCCAGCACGGCGTCCCCATTGAACCTCCCCTCCACCATCCATCATTATTCAACATTACAACCTCGTCCGCAACTCGCATCCCTTCCCCTCAAAAAGCAACGGCTGGGGCCGGAGCGCGCACGCACATATACACACACAACGGGTCACAAATACAAAACTACCTCGTAACCATGCGCGCGACGACCATCCTCTCGGCGCTCTTCGCAGCGACCCTCGCCGCCGCCGAAACACGCCTCGCAAAGGTCTACATTGAGCCCGTCTCGCCCACGCCGCAGACGCCCGTCCTCCTTGCCGAGGTCGAGTACGACGTCAAGCAGCCCGCCGACGCGAGCGTCGCCTCCTACGAGGCGCCCGACCTCTCCACCGGAGCCAACGACAGCCCGATCCCGAAGCTTGTCCGCATCGGCGTCTTCGACCCCTCGACGTCGGAGTGGACCTCGTCCGTGTCCGTGGCATCCACGGAGAACTTTGACAAGGGGTACGCGCCCAACATCATACTCAGCGTGGACGGCGCTTCGGGTGATGTCGTAGGCGCCGGACTCAAGGGCGTAAGGATTGATGCGGGTGCGACGAGGGATTTCGGCCCGCAGGCTGTCGTGCGGGTTGGCGTGCAGGGGAAGACGCCCGAGCTGAACAAGCCGGTCATGCTGAGCCCGGAGGGCAGGAAGGTCGTGCAGGAGGAGAAGCCGCTCTGGCAAAAGTATGTTGAACTCGTCTTGAAGGACTTTGGGGCCTCGGAAGTGGGAGAAGAGTCGCTAACGTTTGTGCAGGTACTGGTGGGTGATTGCGATTGTCGTGTTGATGACCGTCACGGGTGGAGGAGACGGAAAATAGAGGATGTTCGTGAAGAATACCCAATAATTGATGCTTTGCGTTCTTCACTACTGAATGAGTTTTATTTCGGGGGTTGAAGCCTGGCAGGCACCCATGATCGTGTCTTGTTTTACGGAACTGGTGATATCCATAGGACGACAGTGTCTTGATTCTACGACTCTGCATGTAGCAGCCCCTTTCTATGTCCTTCGCGAAAGGCCTTGAATTGCTTTTACGCCAGACGAAGCTTGTCAGTCATGAACTGTCACGTAACGGCTGTTTGACAAGTAGTCTCTGTTCGGTGATGGCTTCAATGCTTTGCATGGTAAGAGAGTGAGGCCCTTTCCATATCTATTAACTGAGCTTCTCTCCTAAAGTGAATGAATTTCAGCCATCGCAGGAGAGTATAGCGCAGGTAGCTTCGTCCCTTCCCCAACAGCTGAGTGTTTCTTTTTTGGACTCACTCTGATGCGTTCCAGGCTGGAGCTCAACTCTAGCTTCTCAAGGCAGGACCAGAGATGGCGCGTGCACCACGGGTTTTCGTGCGCTAGCACTGTCTCAGACTAGCGCCGTTGCACAGAGGCACCCACGCAGTGGCATGCACACCACAGATGGCTTGCGCAGTCTTAAAAGCTGGGACCTGGACTGGGGAAGGTACGATCGAACTGATAAATCCATCGCTTGCCTGCGCAGCTTTACCTCCACCTTCCATTCCCAATCTTCGCCCACCTGCACCCACCCCCCAAACTCTCCCTCCACCAACACAACCACTTTTTGCGACAACTTCTCACCTCGACCACCCTCTGCGCAAACTCAACCATACAAACCACAGATAAACCCACCGGATTCCGACACAATGGCCGCCGAGAACGAGAACGTCGCCGCTGCCGTCCCGGAGGAGACCAAGGGCAAGGGCAAGGCCGTTGCCGGCGAGGAGCCCGTCGAGAAGAGCGACGCCATGGAGGAGGATGAGGAGTCCAGCGACGAGGAGGACAACGCCGAGGTATGCTCATAAAGCCGCCGTCCTATTCTCCCTTTTGCGCCAAAACTAACATGATCACTACAGGTCCCCGAGGCTGGTAAGACGATCCTGCCGCCGTGAAGTGCCCTGCGATCTTGTGACTGACCTATCGGAACTATAGCTGAGGAGGAGGACGGCATGGAGGAGATCGACCTGAACAACATCGTTGAGGGCGGCCGCCGCACTCGCGGCCGTGTCATCGACTTCGCCAAGGCCGCCGAGGAGAACCCCGCCGAGGAGGACGATGACGACGAGGACGACGACTTCCAGGCCCCCGACGACTCCAGGATGGATGAGGACTAAGCCAGCGAGCGCGCCTCGTTGCTCTGCTCGTCACATCTTCTTCCAGCCGCTGTCCACCTTTACGTACGCCAACGGTTTATTATGACGGTTATTGGGGGAACGGTAAACACGCACTTCATGGGCACGCGAAAGAAAATGGAAATTGGGATTACACAAAAGTTTTAAACCCAGGGCTTTGATATCAATTGCATGTCCTGCATCGCCGACGACAAGGACCTGATGGTGGTTGGACAAGTGGTTTTGGGCCGGTAGATGTATTGCTATTGGACGGCATTGATGCGGGTTGGTCTGCCGTCTGGGCCCGCCTGGTCTTTTGGTTTGGTGGGATGCTGTTTACTTTACCGGCTGCTCTGCCCCCGTTGTCACTGCTTTGACTACGAGTACCATGGAAATGAAGATTATGCGACACTGGATGGACCCTTCGTGCATGTGCATTTGTTGTGTTGTATGTTGTAGCCGTCGCGGCGATCGCTTTCTAGGCGATGAGTGTACTTGGAGGTAAAAAAATCCCCTCAAATCGATGGCGCGGAGGAGCCATGGTGTTGGACGATGACAGCTGGATCGCTGATAAATGCAAGGAATAGAATGTTTGAACACAAAGCAAACAGGCACTGCCTTGGCAATGCTGTGTACGTACTGTCTTCCACGGAGACGTGATGCAGTTCCGCCAAGCAAACGAGACGAGCAGCAACCAGTCTTCCCAGGCATATTGCCGGCCCTTGTGATGCCTTTTCAAAACGCAGGGTCTTAGCTGGTAAGTAAGGTACGGTAAGGTGGATTGAGGTTGGAAATGGCAGCTCGATGGTTGTTCTAGAATCCTGCCCGCTCTGCGTGTCTAAGTTTACTGTTCCAAGTCGACCGCGTGTGACAACAGCGCCTTTTTCTGCCCCGGAGCACCACCAACCTAATGAGGGTGGTTCCTGTCAGCGCCGGACCCAGTGACATCCCGTCCGTTTTCACACCCGATCAGAAAAGGTGTCTTTCTCGCACCCGACTTTTTGTTTTTTTTTTGTTTTTTGGGTTCATCGCCGTTTTCGATTGGATAGCGAGACGACACGTACCCAAAATACACATACCCAAAGCAGGCGGCCGCCACGGCACGGACGACTAGAAACTGTCAAAATAGACAGCCCGGACAGGCACGCACCGACGACGTGCTCTGGACCTTTTGCCTACTTTACGCGAGAACCTCTCTCTCGCTCCGCGCTCCACGTCCCAAACGGCTTGTTTTACACAAAGGCACCTTCGTTGGGTTTGGCCAGGCTCTCCCCTTTCCCACGCATGAAGACCAGCTCGCCTTGTTTCCATTACCCACCGTCAATCCCGCCCCTACAGCACACCCCCCCGTTCCCATCAGAACAGGGGCCGGACGGACCAAGCAAAACGTCAAAAAGTCAAAAAGGGGGTTGGACGAGCAGGACGGCCGGCCGCTAAATTATTAGATATCGCCCAGCCGAGATTCGACGTTTACAGTTGGCCTCACCTTACTGGCACCTCACGGCAAACCCACCCCGGTCTGCAGCAGCGCCAACCGACCTTTGAATGACAAGTCAACCAGGGGGTAGGGGAACCAACAGAAAAAAAGTTGCTGCTTGGGCATCTGGCAATCAACGAACCCCCTTTTGAGCTATTAGTAGCCGCTTCCTTAAAGACCTCACGGACGCCGGGTTTCATCGCTCGAGCGAAGGAGACGCTTACTGTCTACACGCCATTTCTGACGGCGTCTTGAGAGAGCTTCGTCGCTGAACCACTGGCAGCGCGCGCACGACGCGACGATCCGGACACCATGTCTTCAAGGTGCGTACATCGAGTCCCGCGCAGCACACAACACCCGCCCTTGATATTGAGAGCCGCAATCGTGCGCTCGTAACGTGGGGGCCATCATCACAGACGATTTGGAGATCACGGGCTACGTCGCCGGAGCTGGAGCATTTGGAGGGCCATGATGACGTCTCCATACCGCGACCTTGCCCGCGTCCCGCCCCAGAACGCCAGCGACGACTAGCCCATTGCGCAAAAGACCACGCATGCCGACAGACGAGAAAAGACAAAGAGGCTGACTTTGGTTCCGTTACGCACAGATTCGGCGCCTCGTCGCTGCACCAGCGCGACTCCCGCAGCGCCCTCTTCGAGGGATACACCGGCGACAACGGCCGCCGGCCCGTCAGCGCCTCGCCCTCGGGGCTTGGCGGCGGGTACGGATACGGGTACGCGGGGGGCAGCGCTTCGCCCGCGCCGCCCATGGGCGGGAGCCATCTCGGCATCGATGGTGGCCGGGGGTTCCGGCCTGCGACACCAAACAAACGGTACGGACACCTTGCACTCGAGGGAGGAGGCTGCTTTGGAGTTGTGACGGTGACGACTACGAAAGAGAGGGGCGGAGAGAGAGAGAGAGAGAGAGAGAGAGAGAGAGAGAGAGAGAGACTTGGCTTGGGAGATGACATGCTAACGGGCGTTAATACACAGGGGCCAGTACAGCGACGCCGTGCTGAACGAGCTGGAGAGCCAGAATGATGCGCAGGTCGAGGGCATCATGGGCAAGGTCAAGATCTTGAAGAGCGTACGTCTCCCCCTTTCCCTCTTGCATCCTTTCCTCCGTCACGAGGGAGCCTTCCCATTGACACGTTCCTCCGTAGATGACGGTGGCCATTGGCGACGAGATCCGCGACTCCTCGGCCCTCGCCGAGAAGATGAACGACACCTTCGACTCGACGCGCCTGCGCATCCGCGGCACCATGAACCGCATGCTGCTCATGGCCGAGCGCACCGGCGTCGGCTGGAAGGTTTGGCTCGGCTTCTTCGCGGCCGTCTGCTTCGTCTTCATGTACGTGTGGCTGTTTTGAAGCGGGCGAGCGACCCGGAAGGACGTTCGAGGGCCGAAAACGACTGGCGTGACAAAGCTGCGTGACAAGAGTGGGAGGGAGATCGCACTAAAGGCTCGACTGGCCGCCCGGGGTTCGGAATCCGTACCGAGACGACGGGTAACGTTCAACATGCCCGCCTTTCTGCTTGAAAACGGCCTCGCGAGGGCTCTGTAACCAACCCAGAAGCGAAAGCTGGAGAGTTGACCGTTGGTATTGATTGAAGGGCTTATGAGAGGCACAACGTATGACGGTGCCGGTGGTCCTCGAGGGGTTTGGTTGGAGCACTGTTCTGCATGCATGCTCGGCGTTTGAGGCGTTTCCAGTGTCATAGAACTCCCGTCCATCGCTTCCTCCGCCTTGATGCATTATCGCGATATATATATATATATATATCAGTAAAGCGCGGGAGACAACGAGAGGACGAGCAGCAGGGACGACGACACGAATCGAAAGACGGGGAGGGCGGGTGTGTTCTGCCTCGGGAAACAAAGGCGCGCGCGTATGCGGTCGGCGCGGGAGGAGGGGGAGGAGGCGGGCGGCGTGTTTCTGATTCCGCTTGTTTAGTATTGAAGAGAAAGGCGAAGGAATTGCTTTCTTTTTGCTGTTGTAATAACGTGTATAACCGTCTAATGCTACATTTTCTTGGCCTCCTTCTCCCCCCAAAGTTTTGATCCCTCCGTCCTCGTGTGGTTCGGTTCGTAATTCGTACAGAGACTGTTACAGTGTGCATGCTGTGCAGAGCGAAAAAAAAGGGGGTATCATGATTCATCCCACCCGGCGTCCGCCGTTCAGCCTTTTCTCTCTCTCCCGACTCCCCGGGCTTCAACGTCTCTGCGCCCTGACGTTCGGGCTGCTGTCCATCATGCTGCTCCCGTCCGCCGACAGCAGCCCGCTCAGGTCCATGCTGCTCCGCGGCCCCCGCCCGCGGTCGCCCGTCGGGCTGAGCGGCGGCCTCAACGGCGCAGCCCGCGGCGCGAAGCTAATGTCCCCTTCCTCGTCCTCGTCCTCGTCCTCCTCGTCGGAGCTCGCGCCGCGCGCGTCGCTGCTGCTGCTCAGGCTCACGTCGGCCTCGGAGTCCGTGTGCTCGTACACGCCGCTCAGCTCTCCGGCCTCGGGGATCTCGTCGTCGAGGTCGGCGTCCATGTCCATGCCCAGGTCGTCACCGGCCCCGCCGCCCGCGCCGGGCGCGACGAGGTCCTCCTCGTCGAGCATGTGGCCCTGGCCCGAGGCCTCGAGCTCCTCTTCCGCGCCGTACATGTCGTCCCCGTCCACGTCGCCCCGCGCCATGGCCTGTCTGAACGCGTCGTCCGCCATGCGCATCCTCGCCGCCACGAGCCCGTCGCGCCTCTCGTCCTCGTCCTCGTCGACGGCCGTGGCGTCGTCATCCTCGTCGTCATCTTCTCCATCCTCGTCGCCGCCGTCGTCGAGGATGTCGCCCTCGCTGCTCGACAGCTCGTCTGCCATGCTATCCTCCCCACCGTCAAACCCAAAACTCTCCTCGGCGTCCGGAATCTCATCGTCCAGGTCCCGCGCCTCTTCTCCCTCCTCGCCCGCCTCCTCGCCTTCGACAACGTCCTCGAGCCCGTCCTGCCCCGCGGCCTCGGCCTCCGCGAGCTCCTGCGCGAGCTGCTCCCGCCTCATCGCCTCGGCGTGCTCCTCCTGCTCGCGCCTCTCCTCGCGGATCTGGTGCAGGCTCTTGGGCACGCCGGGGGGCTTCAGCCATGTGCTGCCGAAATTCTGGACGTGCAGTCGCCGGCGGTCCATCTGCTGCTCGTCGGCACGGAGGCGCGCGAGCGCCGATCGCTCTATGAGCAGCTGGCCCGCGCGGCGGGAGGAGGAGTTGTGTTGTTGCTGTTGTTGGGAGGGGCCGCCATGGTTGTTGTCGCGCTGGTCGTGGGCTTCGAGGAGGGCGGCTTGTGTGACGGGATTCCGGGAAGAGGTGTACCAGATCGAGTGCGACTGTTCGTGACAGAGTTAGATGGACGCCATGGTTACTGGGGTGGAGGGGCCGGGGGCGGTAGAGGAGCTCACGTCTCGTGGTGTCAGGTCGGGTAAGAGGCCGAACATGGCTGCTTGTCTCTGCTATGTTGGCAGTGCGATCGATCGAGGTAGCTCGAGTGGCGTGTACACTTGAAATGATGTCTCGCTGATTGAATTGGCGACCGTCCGTAGCTGTGAGAGCTCTGTCACGGTCAAAGGATTCCCGCTGCAGGTGCCTGTCGCGAGGTTGCAAGAGTAAACATTCAACAAAGTACGTACTTGCCAGGGTAAGGGTCTACCCCGCAGCAGCAGACGCGCCGCGCCTAGCGCGCCTAATCCCTGCTGCCAAAAAGTCACGATGCTTCATTGCGGGCGGCAGAAATGTGGTCAACTGCTAAAAAATCCAACGACATCTCTTTAACATCATCAAACCCTAGCCATGGTGCCTTCGTCGCAACGCAAGGTGTGGATGGTTCGGGGCTGACAACTATCTCCTGGGAGCGTAGTCCAAGCCTACTAAGGCCGAATTGGTCGTCCCCGCTAGTTGCTGGATGACTCTTCTCTCACTGTCGGACTTACGGCTTCTTCCACCGTCACCATTGCTGCCTCGCCTCAATCTCTGACCAAAAGTCTTGAGCCTGCACCTCTCTGGTAGTTGCCAGGTTTCATCCAAACTGCGTGGAGTCCTAAGCGGCTGCGTCCCCTCGGCTCCAGGATTACCATTTCCATGAGGTAATGGTGAACATGGGTCTCCGAGTGCCTCCGCCTCCTTTTTCATCCTGCCTTTCTCTACGCTTCCGTGACTCTGCCTCGTTGATTCGTAGCGGCGGGGAAATGAGGGACCAGCGCGCACTCGCCCCGCGCCGCTCTGGCGTGCGTATGTCGGGAAAACTCGGAGCAGCGCTGACATCGGAGTTGCTGGCATTGGCTGTACTAGTGGAGGTTTCAAATGCCATATTTCCGCATTGTGGGAATTTTTCGCTGCTATGGGCTGACTCAAGTGGACTCGCTCTTTTGCTGCCCGTTGTTTTGCCCGCTTCTGTCTTCCCGAGTCCCTGCACGCGGTCTCAATGGGGTCTGAGGGCGTGGCCGCTCCGATATAGGGCCCAAGACGCCGCCAGGGGTTACATCCGCCCGGCCCTAGTTGGAGGGGAACGGCCGAGCCGACTTCGGGGGGAGGGGTGGTGGCTTGGTTAGCGCAATGGGTATGGCAGATGCCATGACGGACACAGGCTCGCTTCGCGTCGTTGGTGGGAGGAAACTCCACAAAGACGTGCGGAATCGTCCCAAAACACCCGTTTCCAGCGCTGGGAGAGACACTTTTTATTCCTGTTGCTTAAGTCACTGGCCAGAAACCCGCTAAACATGCTCTAGGCAATGGGGCTGGCGTACTGGACCTGACAGTTGATGCTTGATTTGTGACTTGATTCACGGACTTGATAATTCGTCCGCATCTTCATATCAGTAATATGGATCCAACATTGAACGACGTTCTGAATGTGAAGTTGGGGAGCTGGTGCCCTCAGAAGCGGAGATGGAGGGTCGCCTCTGGAGGGCATAGGTGACCAACCGCTCGCAACCACCTTTGGTTACAGTGTGCGTCCATCTAGATCCAGGATACAGACACGTGCTGATGAACAGGTTGAGATGCGAAACCCTAAGTCTGTCCAGGGCAGATTAAATTTGTCACAAAGTTTAAAACATACCTGAAAATCTCTTCCTTGGTGTGCGTTGTGACAGGCATCATTATGCACCCCGAAGGTATCTGTGACGTAGGAGATGCGCGGTTCTCCTGGGCGATTCATCACCGAGCGCAAGCATGTCTCTCACCTGGCTGCAGCGGTTGGCATGTCTGTGCCGCTTTTGCAGGCTAGACGTTGGAATTCCTCCAGAGAGGCCCCTCTCTTCCCCTTCCTCCCCCTCCAACCCTCCAGTTCCGAAAAGCCAAGAGAGCAGAAACGTCTGTGCAGCGGTACCAGCAGGGTCGTGCTGCGCAAGGAACTGAGATCTGAACTCCTCCGGCCAGCGGGGTCGCATTTGGCATGGATCAGAGACTAGGGAGACGACTGGCTTGCTGAAGCTCATATGCAAATGCAGTGAATGGCCACTGTGGTTGGCTCAAGATAAGACGGTTGAGGCTGCGAAGCCAGTCGTGATTGGCTGGCTTCTTGAATTTTGCGCTGTCGATTTTTTGACAGCAACCCCTTCGGCGTTGGGCAACAACTGCTAATGCAGTCTGACGCCCACCTCGCCCATCGACGTGCCGGACATGGAGGGTGACTTGTTGCCTTTTTTGATTGTCATTCTGTGAGACAACGCAATGTCGAACGACTTGCATCCCATGCACCGTCTCCGGGATGCATGTGTCCGGTGCTGCCCGCCATTGGCTGGCCTCCTCGAAGTGCCCGTATTGTGTGCGGTTGCGGCATACGTCTCTTGGACCTCGCTTTCGCAGACCAGACCGCGAGCAACGTTGTTCCTGCTGGACGAGTTTCCGTCTTGGGACTTTGTTCACCCGCCTCTCCGTTCACCGGCATCTGACACCAACGACGCCTCGGGCGCTTAAGCGAAAAGCAGAATTTACCCCGGTCGGCCGTCGGCCGCTGCTCTCCAGCACTCAACACCACCAACTTCCGTAGATCGGAGGATCGATAGGCAAGCAAGATATATACCGACCACTTCTAGTCGTGATCGATTCTCGGGAACTGCTCGGAGTATGCGCCCTGTCGACTCCATGACGCCAGTTTGTCGACTATCAATGTAGCACGTCCTTCGGGTCTTCTCGTGTTGCTGCCGCCACTACGAATAGCGTGTGCAGAACCATGAGACATTCAGACAGGCTTACATGTGGTGGTTTGGCGCGCTAACAAAACATCGAAGCCTCTCAGTTGCATGTGCAAGCGCAGCTTCGAGGCGAGATGAGGTTCACGACCCTCCCCTCCCCAAACTCCATCCCCCAATCACCCGCATTGGTGCTTGAAATGCCCTTGTCCTCGAAGGGTCCGGGTCCAGTTCCCTGGGGGATTCCTGTGGTCTGTCAGGGGCCCCCAAAGGACCGAGGCGACATCGGCCAAAGGCTTCTTTGAAATGCAATCAGCTGATTGGTGCAAGCTCAAAGCTTGCTCGTCAATGACATTAACCTTTTCAGCCACTCCGTTTCGCCGGACGCGCAAAATTACTGGGTAGCCCCTGCTTGGTCTGCATGGAGTGTGTGGGGTGCGTCTCTGCCGCTGGATTTGGCCGAAATGCTGGGTTTTTGTATCCAAATCCTCTTACACAAATTATTGACGAAAACCACGCTTGGCTGAAAGAGGATTCGCCTGGATGATGCGTGCTTATATCTTGGCAAAAGATCAAATAAAAAAATCAACAGACTATAGGCTGTTGCCGTTGGAGATGTGCGGGAGAGCAGCAGGTCAGGAAGCCGCATCTAGGTGTATCGCCTGAAGAATGAACGCAGTCACCCAGTGTGTTGCCTTGATTTAGCTGAACCGAGCGTTGTGAATTAGATACGACCAGGTCGGACTTTGCCAACAGCAACAGCGCGCTGAACAAATGCCGCCACGATTTTGTCGGGCTGGATCTGACAGCGGCAAACGAGGCGGTCTAGCTTGTCTTGACAAACATCCAAGCCGTGGGATACATCCACAGAAGACACAGAAGGCTCCGCTCGCCTCCGGCCTCATCTGTGCATGCCAGATCTCTTTCCTACTTGTCGATCTGTATTTGGGTCACCGCCATTGGCCAAGAACTTCTCGTGGGATAAGTGATATAGCCCCTGAAGGAAACCATTCTTTAGCGCGCGCAGAGTTGGGTGGGACGATGGAACGAGATGGATGAACGGGCGGAGTTGTGTTTGCCGGTCCGGAATTAGCGGTGGGGGGCCGTCATCTTCATTGGGACCGATTCATCAGCGTCGACCTTGTGGGAAGGGAGCGTTTGCGGCCGATATCCATGTTCCCCCAGACAAGGCGACGGGTCGTGCTATGTACGTCAGGCAGTCAGGCTTGTGCCTCGTGGTCGCACCCATTGACATTCAATTGATGGGCGAAGGGGAGTGCGGATATGGCTGGAGGCGTTGCTGGCTGGCCAGTAGTATACCTAGTAGCACGACGTGATGGAACACCCAACGGTCGGGGTAGGACCCCACAGAGCAACGTTGGCACGTCCGTGGTAATGAGATGTGCCAAGACGGGCTCCTGGAGAATGTCGCGACGCATGGGGGCGTAAATTGAGGGCATGTATGAGCTATGGTGGGAGCTGGAGGGCAAAGGTTTAGTGCTTTGGAGAAACCGGCATGGCAGCATGCATGGCGTGGCTGGGAAGGTGGTGAATGGGCGGTTTGAGAAGGTTGTGGGTGATGAGTTGAGTCGACGTGGAGGACAGTCGATCAAGGCTGACGTGGTGGAAGATCACCAACATGCTGAAAAGGGCAGCGGTCGATGACGACCCTTTCGTTTCCCTGCAGAAGTCCCCAGTGACAATCATCTGAGGTTGAGGTGGCCCGAATGCTGGCTGCCAGGTGTCTTGGACGGCCTCGATGGTGTCGTGGTATGGCCGATGTGCGGTGTTTTCTGGCATGTGGTTTTGGAGGTTTCGGGTTCGGTTGCCTTTCCCAAGGCGTGGGCCCCCCCGTCAGCGTCAGCATCGAGGACTGTGGTCGACAGTCGAGCAGGGCCGCGGGGGCGAATGGTGCCCTGGAGCAGTCCACTTTCAGGCCATTTTCGGGCGCGGACAGGCCACTCGAGGAAGGGAAATTCCAAGGTTTATTGCAGGGCAGTGGTGCAACAAGGCCCTGGCTTCCTGGGTGCGTCGTGGTAGGGAAGCAGGCTAGCAGGGTGGTGGCATGGTGGTCAAGGTAACATCCATTGAGACGACAAGGGCGAGGGTGAGGAGCCCACTGAAGAGAGATTGATCATTGACCGAAAAACGGCGCAGCGAGGAAAGGCGACGCAGCCATCGAACCGGAGGCGGGGCGGAGAGGAGCCCCCCTGGCATGGGGTGAAGATGTGTCCGGCATCCAGGACGACGTCCTAGGAGTGAGGAGTGTAAGAGTCAGAGATTCAGAGGAGGCCAGGAGCGAAGTT